AGTGTACATAAAAAGACAAGATACATTTGTCAAGAACCATAAAGTACAACACTTAATGATAGTCATAGGGTACAAATAAGCAATCAGGAAACAATATCAATATAAATTGTAAGGATATAAGCAACAAAGTTATAGCCATACAGTCATAAGTGGGAGGAGATAGGTGATAGGATGAGAAGACTAATAGTAATAGTAATGCAGCCTTAGTGAATGAGGGTGAGGGAATTGTTTGTTTAGCGGAGAAGAAGCAAAGGATGGGAACTAATCAAGGAAAGAACCAACCTAGAAATAAAGCAGACACTTCCTGATAGAACCATTCATCAGCTGGAACTGCTTGCCTTCCAAAGTGGTGGGTGCTCCATCAAGGAAAGTATTTAAGAAGAGGCTGGACAAGCATGTATCTGAATTGGTGTAGGGTGGGGGTCTCCAACCTTGGCCACTTTAAGACTCGTGGACTTCAACTCCCAGAGTTCCTCAGCCAGCTGAGCTGGCTGAGGAACTCTGGGAGTTGAAGTCCACAAATCTTAAAGTGGCCAAGGTTGGAGACCCCTGGTGTAGGGTCTCCTGCTTGCTGGACCAGAAGACCTGCCAGGTCCCTTCCAACTCTGTTATACTCTTCTCCATAAGGTGGGTGAAAAGTCCCGTCCACCCCCTCAGGACAGTCTGTAAGCAAGAGCAGATGCTTCCTGTATTAGTTTTGCTTCAGGTCAGAGCATCCCTCTTTCCCTCCCGACCTTTATAAAAATGCTGCTCCCTTCCCTACTTTTCCCTGCGAGCAGATCTTAACTGCTGATGGAGAGAGAGAGGGAGGAATGAGTGGATCACTTCAGGTCATTCATGAAATCTTGGGACCAGCCCGATGGACTTCCCAACCCCTGCTTGCTTCGCAAAACCCGTCCCCCGTAGGGATTCCCCCATAGTTTCCCCCACGACCTGGATGGCTGTTTCTTCGGTTTACTCCCCCGCCTGTCACAAGGAGGGAGATGCGTGGCCCTCGGTGATGCTGCCCACTAACCTGCCCCGTGGCTCTGCCTCCGTGGGCTCCATTTCCCTGCCCTCGTTGCCTCCCAGCCTCCCTCGGTGCTGCCGCTGCTGCTAAACGGCGCCGCTCGAGAGCCTTCCCCGCGTACCCGCCCCGCTTCCAGCGGACCCCCCTTTACCTCAGAGGACGCCTGGGCGAACTTGGCAGCCCAGCCAGACCCCCCCACGTTCGTCTCGTCAGCACTAGCTAAAGCACTACGCATGCGCGGAATCGGAGGCTGGAGGAAGGAGCGGCCAGCAGAGAGCATGACGGGAAGCGTAGGCAGGTAGATAGGAAGGTAGGCGCTATCGCTAACAGCTTCGCCTTAATAGTGGGGGAGCGTTTCAAGATTTCCCTTTCGACGTCATTATTCTCTTTTCTGTCGGAGATTAAAGCGGTCGATGCTCATCAGAATCTTGCCCAGCCTGATTCTGTGGTTTCTTCCCCTAACCTCCACAACTTTAACTTTAGACTGTCTACTGTTGACCACACCCCATTCCTAAGAGGTCTGTAAAGGGCATGCATAAGTACACCAACGTGCCTACTGTCCCTGTCCTAATGTTCCTTTTTATTGGTATCCTTTTCACGTATTCAAAATCATGTTTATACACTTATCTGTTATCCTATGTATATGCTTGACAAATAAATTGTAACTTGATTTCCATTGCTAAAGTGGTAGTAGTGATGGGGGGGAAATATGGGAGGTAATTCTAATAGATCTCAAGGATATTATCCTACGATTTAGGGAGGAAAGGGTCTACAGGTAATTATGATTTATTAGGTCCCGACAAGGCACTTTATATCTGGCAGCGCTTAAGACAACCTGGCACAAATAGCCCGCTGTTAATACTTCTTTACACGAGCCTGCAAAAAAATCTGATATTCCTGCATTGTATAATGGGAAATAAATGACACTAGATTTCAGTGTATACACATAGTGCTTTTTTGATTCCCTATAAAAATCTTAAATGAAATTAATCCGATTTCACTTTCAACTTTATTATCTCTCTTTTAAAACATCTTATGAAGACTGTCTAATTGAGGCTAACATGTTTCCCAGCTCTTGTATGTTCTTATTTTTTACCTCTGGAAAATAAAGCAGGTTTTTCTGCCTCACTGTTGAATCATTTGATACATACCCATGCCCATCACACTATGTCTTTCTGTGTGAGAAACATTACAGGGTACAGAAAATAGGAAATAAATAGGTTGATGATAGCTAAAACTAGGTGATACAAACACCATTCAGTGCTATTTTCCTTTCCTGGTCTCCTTGAAACTATTTTGGTTCCATCCATTTACCACTTTAACCATTGTCTTATTGCTTAGATCTATATTTTTAAGATCTTTAGCTATAACCTTTTTTTGCTCTTCCTCTTCCTGTATTTACTTTTCTTTTATGTATTTGCTTTGTGATTTGATCCTCATTCATTCTCCGTCACCAACTTCCAGCGTATTATTTACCATCCTTCACATTCAATGTTTTTCAGAATACATGAGATCAAATCTCTGACAGAGTTTTTATAACCTAAAATTTAACAAAGGGTAGAGTATACATTCAGACATTCAGACTCATTTCAACAAACAGAAGTGTGTATTTGCACACCAATTTGGCAGCTGAAGCGGGAATGCAAAGTTCCAGGCTACCATAGTTTTTCCATAGTTCTGAAGATGTCTTGAAAAATTTGGAGGGTTCTATTACAGAGTCTACCTGAAGTGTGCTGATCAACTATCAATCTTCCAAAGCAGTCAGAAGCTTCTCCAACAGCAAGTAGGAGAAATTGAAGAGTTGAATCTATGCTTTTCCAAAGACCAAGAATTGTAATTTTATCTTTCCATTTCCTTGCTGGAACTGTCTTAGTGTATACGTCAGCCATTCCCATTTTGTGGCTGGCAGGCTGACTAGATTATGTATCAATAAATACTTGACAGGCTTCTTACTTTGCCTGATAACTGCAAATGCAGAAATAGCTGTGTTATTTTGGCCTAACCAGTTTGTAAACATCTGAAAGTTTATAATGTGAGTGTTAATTCATCTTCCTATGTCTCCAGAAGTCTGCAACATCATAATTTTCAATTTTCCTATAGCAGAACCATCAAAAAAATCATGTTAAACTGATTTAATTCTTAAAAGTATTTTATTACTCTTTCAACACAAGGCCGCCATAAAACACTGATTCAAAGAGACAGTTCTATTTTCACACCCATTTTGCTCTGATAAGAGATCAGTGCTGGTTTGACTTCTTCATTCAGGAAACTTGCCACCTGTTGTGAAGAAACAACAATTTAGTTTGAGATCCAATGAATTATAATCCTTTACAATTTGCCATTTTTAAAATCACCATATGAAAACTATCTAGCCGTCACCACCAATGTTTTAAAGGGTTTCAAACTGACGGCCCGTGGGCTGGATGCGTCATGTGCAGGCCACGCCTACCCCGGCTGTGAATGGGAAAAAACATCGTAAAACATCATAGGACGGCAACATGACGTGGCAAGTTTGTTTTAAAGAGCCCTGGAAGTTCAGGTGGTCCAGAATTTTGTAGTCACACAACAGCTGAACAACTCTGATAGAGCAACTTCACTGGCTGCTGGCTTATTTATACAGATACAATTCAAACTCCTAGTTATAAAATAAATCTCTATAGAACTAAGCTTTAATAGTACTTGGAAGCAAGGTATTTGAAAGATACAAAGATATCTTAAGATTTAAGGCATTTGTGAAAGATCCTTCTCTTGAATTTGAGTATCATTGGAGACATATATGGAGAAATATACATTGCAACTACTTTGGAGATGTTTCAGAACTTGGAAAATTAATTTGTATTGTTTTTCTATCATTAGACAAAGACAATTTTATTCAGCTAGGTTTCCTATTATAAACTACTTCGGCTGCTGATTTAGATTTTAACTAGTTGGATCAGTGTCTTCTTCCACTTAACAAATGAGTTCTAATTATAGATTAATTGTTTTTGAAAGTAACACTTTTTCAACTTTTAATTATTTTTTTATTCTTAGTCCCTTTCTTATCTACTATTTTTGCTGAAAACTGAGAAATGATTTCAATATATAAAATTGTATAAATAAAAAAGTGCCAACAATTTTGCTCATTGTTATTAAATATTACTTCATATAGAAAGAATGGGCAGTTTTTGATCTAGCAATCTATATTAAAACAGTATAACAAGTCATTTAGTCCATAATACATTAGAATAAAATGAAACACCAATGGATCACCCAAGAATTTAAGAGAATGGAGGTGATTGGGCTAAAAAACCCAACAATTTTAATAAGAGTAAATCTGAATTGGGACATAACAGTTATGGATAAAAAAAAGCTTTCTTCAGGAAAGCTAAAATTAAGAGCAACCTCCCCCGTTTTCCCCAAAATAAGACCTCCCTGGATAATAAGCCCAATCGGGTTTTTGAGTGCATGCGCTAAAATAAGCCCCCCCCCCAAATAAGCCCCCCCCAAAATATTGCAATACAGCAGTAGCTATGATATGACCACACTTGCTGCCTCCTGAACCTCAAAAATAATAAGACCTCCCCGAAAATAAGGCCAAGTGCTTATTTCGGGGGTCAAAAGAAAATAAAACCCTCCCTGTCTTATTTTTGAGGAAACACAGTAGTAAGGACACTACCTTTTTCTGCTTTTTCTTACCTGTTGGGAAGCCCGGCCAGTGAAGGATATAGGTTCCAAGAGAGTTTCCAATTGCCCATGGATAGGGCTAAAATAAGGATCAGCACGAATTCGTGCAATGAGGTCATTATCACCTCCTTCTTGCTTCACAACAGCAGCTGCCTGCTGGGACAGAACCCGTATTTTCTCATGACATTCCTATAAGGTAAAAAATGGACAAAGTGTTAACTTGTAAACCAGGAAAATGCTACATCCAACCATTAATATTGAATACAGAGTTTAGGAAGCTCATCCTAGATAGCCCATCTTGCAAACAGGATTTGAGCGTATGAGAAAGCTATTGCAATATTCTCTCTCCACTGGTATCCCAAATGATTATCGGATTTAATATATTTTTCTTTTTAATTTACAATCTGCAATGAGAGAACAAAGATACTTCTAAAACTCTTCATTGCTTTATAGAAGAATTTAAGTTAAAAACCAGTCAAAAGCTTACAGTGCGCAAGGTTTTTTTCCAGACCTCATCAGTAGACAAATATTATAAAAAACCCCAACAGAATAGATTTTCCATAAACTTTGTGTAACTCCTCTGTTTCTTGCATGTATGTTTCTTAGGGGCTGATAACTAAGCATACGTAATCAACTACTTACCTGGCGATTTCCCCCAGCTTTTACCATAGCCATGATGATATTTTCTGTGGACATGAAAGGCAACTCTTGTTCTATATGCCTTGCAATTACCTAAAAAAAGTGATATAAATCTTTATAGGGTGGATTGTTAATATGGTCTCTTATTCTTATTTATTTATTCAGCAGATGGAACATATCCACATGATAACATACATTTTTTTTGTTATGCAGAGGATCTCAGTGGGTATGAAGGAAGCTGCAGAAGCTTATATATATTTTTCTTTTTACGATCCTTTAAACCAGGGGTAGTCAACCTTTTTATACCTACCGCCCACTTTTGTATCTCTGTTAGTAGTAACATTTTTTAACCGCCCACTGATTCCACAGTAATGGTGATTTATAAAGTAGGGAAGTAACTTTACTATATAAAATTTATAAAGCAGAGTTACAGCAAACCCGTACTGCCCACCATGAAAGCTGGAACGCCCACTAGTGGGTGGTAGGGATCAGGTTGACTACCACTGCTTTAAACTCTTTGTTTCAGAGTTGAGTCCTGCAACTGAGTGGAGTTGAGTGTTTACTCGCCAGATGCCCTTCCTGACACCCATGTAGAATTCATAGCAGAGTTCTTTGTGCCCTGATAAAAGAAAAATCTGCCGCTGCCTAGGATTGAACTTTCAACTTTCTGAGTGGGAAGACAGCGCTTTCATCTCTAGGCTACCCTGCCACTCAATTCTAGAATGTTAGATAAGGATTATATTTCTAGATATGTTCCTCAATTTTATGCTTAGAAAATAAACAAGAATAGGTGCAGATAGTTTCTTCAAAGCAAGAAATTGTAACATATTGTTTTTATGCAACAAGTCAGCTTTCACTCCATTTGAAATGTACATGATAAATACAGTAATTATTAAATCAGATACTGTTTCAGTATTATTCTTGTC